ATGAGTATTGGGGTTGCTATGGGTTTGTGGTTTTTTTTTTTTTTTTTTTTTGTAGTTTTTTATGCTTCTAGTAATGTTGTTAATGATGGATGGCAGAAGGCCAAAATTCCACCATATAAACATGTCATTGATTGCGACCTATGGAACCATCATAGCAGGCCTCCCTTCACAAATTGCTTTTGTGAAGGGGTCATTAAACACTGTGTCAGAGCCTTATAGTGGTGCTATAACAGTTATTTAACAACTTCTTGTACTTTCAATCTGTTTACATGTATCTGGGTTTATGTGTTTGCATGTGTTTACATCCCATCTATCTATAATTGGTGCTATTTTATTGAATGTAGCCCATGAAAGGAAATATTCCCTATGTTTTGGACTTCCCTTGTGCTAACAGTACACTTGTTTTGTATTGTTTTATTAGGGATTAAGTGTGGGTTTGGTAGAAAGTAGAAACCTTGGGCAGGATGATGTAAACTAAAGGGTTTCGATGGGGATCAACTTTTAGGCCCAGGTCCTAGTAAGCTTCTCATATGGAAGGTATATTCCAGAGGGGGCTAAGCAGGAGGGGATGTTTTCTGTCACGTGGATTTGCTGACATGGCCAAGTTAGTCAAGCCAGTCAATGTTATAGTGGGGAGTAGGGACTAGGTGAAAATCATGTTGATGAGTATTGCTGTGGTGTTACTGAGCCTGTTCTCTTAGGTGCCTTGACTCTGGTAGAAGTTGTAATTTCTATGGCTATATTTTAATTCAATGATACTATCAGTTTTGAACCTTTTTCTATTCTGCATATTCTGGTGTTCCATCAGGGTTCTGGTCCCTACTCTAAAAATTGTTCCTCGGATAATTTGTCCAGCCAGCTGAGAAGACCAATGGAACAAGAACTAAACTAAAATAATTAAAAATTGAACATCTGTGGAGAACCTTAAGCTATCATTTAAGTTGGTCAAGATGTTAAGGTTGTTAAGATTTTTGATAAATTGATTTATCTGTCTAATATGATTCTGATCCATTGGTTATGGAGCAGACTAATGGAAGATTGGAAGTTGCCATTATAGGTTACTTCTTGGATCTCGTTTTAATAATTAGTGACATCATAGTCAACTCACCTCCATACTTGCATGGTGGTGAGTCTTGGTTACAAATGGTAGTGTTCTTGCTATAACTAAATGTCAGTGTTATTACATATATGTGTGTGTGTGTATGCCCAAATTAATTCCTCATGAAGATAAAAGAGGCTACTGATTGTTCTTTGTTATTTAATTTTTCCTGCTCTACGTGAGCTGAAGCTTATTTGCTTTAGTATTCTTTATCTAATTATTGTGCATATTCATTAATTACACTTCCTATTCTGTGAAGTGTCAAGGTGCTTGCTTTTTTAATTGTTCCAGTAAAATTATTTGAAAATTAATGAATTAGTTTTTGAGTTCTTCATAGATTGTTTCCTAGATTTATATAAATTCTATATATTTTGGTTTCAGAATCATGTCTCTGGTTGCAATAAGTCCCCAACTCCAAGTATCACCATCAAAAACCAATTCATTTTCAGTATCTTCCCCATTTCTCCTATTTACTGTGCATTACAATCTTTAATATCATCAAGGACAATGGAATCTATCATATCATGACTTTCTTAACAGTCTCCATATCATGACTTTCTTAATGGTCTATCAAAGTTTGATTTTACTTCACAAAATTCAAATCTTGCAACTTTTGGTGCTCTAGTTGGCATCTCTCCCCTGAAAGAATCTAATTTATATTTTAAAAAAATGTTAGTTTCTCAATCAATCAGTAATTTAGTATAATCAGAGTCCTATAAAAAAAGAACTTACAAGTACTTGCAAGCTCAAAAATAAAATGATGTTCACATGCTGATGTGCTACAAGTCAAGCTCACAGTTTAATGACAAGCTTTTTGCAAGTTTCGAACATGGTTTCTATACATGTTCTACCACTCAATTGCAATGACAAATAAACTAAATTCCATTTCTTTTGTGAACTTCCTCATCATGTTCAAGGCCATGGAATGGCAGTAAGTGAATCCTACAAGAGTACAGCCTCTTCGTATCTAGCATTAAGTCCAAATAATGTGAAGAACATGGAGTCCAGAAAGGTCTTAGTCTCTTAGATTGTTAATATTTACCCAGGGTTTATAAGAACTTAATGAAGTAAAAAAAAAATAATAATAATAATAGCATGATATTCTTTTATAGTTAAGAATTAGAATTAAGATTCTTACCAGCCAAAACATAGTTACTGCTGTTGTCTGTCACCACTTGAACAACATTTTGTTCTCCAAGCTCTACACAAGAGTCAAGAATCCAGCTGATCAATTTGCTTCTCCCCTGTTTTCAGACATCTAGAAGCATCTATACTTTTATTCACCAAGAACTTGATCAATGTCGTATTCTTTTTATCTGTCCATGCATGGGTCATGGTAGGACAGCCATAACTCACCTGTTTCATCTAAAAGGCTTCATCATTTTTCCATTTAGTTCCAATTCCTTCTTGAGCCATAGAACTCTCATTTTATGAAAGTTTGGTGGCCTTAGGTATGGACCATACTTTCCAATTGCTCCAACCATCAATTTTAAGTTTAGACCTCAGAACATTGAATGGGATTGAATTCCTATACAAGCATTGAATAATGTATTGATTTGTTCTAGCACTTGCTTCTTTATCACAAGCTTCATTGATGCTTGTTTCACTTAGTCTTTTCCAATTTAATTGATGCATCTAGATTCTTAAGGAGAAGCGATTTTATATTTTTTACCTAGGCAGCAGTAGGAACTGGAAGAACACCTTCATTAAATTTGGATGTTGCTGCAGGTTGCTTGAATGCTGTGTTTCTTGAACATCTTCCTCATCATCACCTTCCTTCAACTCAGCCATATATGCTTCACTTTCATCCCTTTTCTTTTGGAATGCTTTGGTGAGCTGCTTCTTAATTTCAAGAGAGATCTTCTTATAAGAACCAATATCTCCCCTTATTCCCATTTTGTGCCTTTTAGCACTAGTAATCCCCTGTCCCACAAAATTCACAATTTACTGTCTTCCTATCATATATATTCTTCAAGCTATTCCACTGTCGTGCATTGTCCAAGTTTTCACATGTAGGCATCATAAGTGCACAAGAGGCAGCGGAGGAACCACCAATCTTCTGAGTCTGTCCTTAAGATGATGCCATTGCTCGCTGTCCAGTGGAGAAGAAAAAACTGAGATTAGACCAGAGACAGCAGTGCAGAACCACAGAAGAGTAGAGAAGCTTGATTAGCTGGAAAAGCACCACAGATGGGTTGCTGAACAGATATGAGAGAAGAGGGAGGGGTTGTTGTCAAACAGAGAAAGGGTGATGAGAAAAATGGGTATAAATGTACGGGCTATTTTCTGTGTAGCATTGCTATTAGCCTATTACATGGCAAAAGCTTGTGTTTTGCAACTGGTAAACACCCTGCAATGGTAGATCTATGATGGCCAAAGACTGCTCTGCCCTCCCCAGACTTCCATCCTGTTAGGAACGAGTCAGAGCCACAAACTTTACTGGGGTATGATATGAAAAGGAAAGGGTCAAAGTTTAGCAGACTGGTAGGAGGTTAGGAGGGTTAATTAGTTCAGTTTTGTATTCCCTATAAATAAGCCCTGTGTCAAGTAGTGAGGGGAACTTACGAGTATTTCGTAAAACTGGGTATATTCCAGTGAGGAGAAAGCTCCTTTGGGGGTATACTTGTATACCCTGGTTCTTGGTTTGTAACAGTTTTCTGTAATAAAGAGAGGAAAGCTCCTTTGTTAGGCTTTATCGTTTCTTGCTCTAAAAAGAGGACCCTAACACATCCCCACTGAGATAGTGCTGCTATCGCCTGTTATTGATAAATATAAGCATGCCCTCTTACACAAAGTGTCTTTTGGGCTTAAAATGTTGTCAGTGCACTAGGCCTTCAATATCATGTTTTCAAATTATCTTTGTTCATTCAGAAGAATGGGTAATGAAGATTGGGTTGTTGAAGAATGGATAAATGTCATGAACCAATTATTCTAAAGGCTTAAATTATTGGGTGAAAGGCTCATGCATGGTTGTAAGTCTAACAAACTGCTTGTAACTTGAATTGTTTTCAAAAGGCAAACTTCTCGTTCCTTGTTAAACTTAAAAATGTCCGTACTTAATGTTTTGAACAATTTTTTAAGTTATAATTATTTTGGTATTTTAGTCCTTTCATTTTTATGATATTTTACACATACATTTGTTAGAAATTTATATGCACTTAGGCCATATTTAGACCTGCTTTGATTGTCTCTTTGTCGGGTGCCCCTTTTTCAATACATTTTGGTAAAAATTAGTCATTTTTTACCAAAATTTTTATGGTAAAATGTATGGTAAGATTAATGACTTTTGTAATAACTATCACGAAGGTCATACCTAAGATGATTTTTAATTGGTTGATACTTGACAGTGTAAAAACTTCAAATTTTAATCTCTTTGTCTTAAGAGTCTCACATGAGTGGTCATTTACATCTGCAGAAATAACTGTTCTGAGATAAAATCATAACATAAATGTTGCTGGTGAGATATTTTTTCACATATTTAAAACTAAGCCTTTGTCACACTCAAAATAATTACACAAATATTGCTGGTTTTGTGATATTTTATTGTAGAATGAGACAGACACAACTATTTACATATTTTTGTTGTGCTTTGAAAGTTTTCCGTGTGTTTCTACGACACCCGTTGGCCCCATCTGAGAAGTTGAGTTTAGCTGTGAATGGTAACTCCCTTTACTGCGTATGAACACTTCTATAATTTACTTGAAACATTAGTGTGACTTGAATCATATCTGTCTTCTATTATCAGCGTTATTATTTTGGGTTGGTCCTGCATTTTACACGTTTTCCCTATTTTGATAGTTTTGCTATTACATTTAATTAGTATTCAGACATGCCAATTTGTGTTGATATTGATTTGCAGATAGTCAAGTTGATGCAGCATGAGTTTACAAGGTTTCAACCCTGCCAGTTTTCAAGGAACGGTAGAATTGCTCTTTGACAGTGTAAGAGTATCAAATATGAAGTGTGTATTACATTGTGCTGGTTTTATCTAACTGTCGATGGCTAGTACATGGTGCCCCTTTGTGGTGAGGAAGATCAGGATTTGAAGTTCCCATTCCGCTGCTTAATCTTGTCGAAGACTTGTGTAATGTTCTCATTTGTTTGTTTGTTATTTGTCTTGGGCGAAGCATTTTCACTGTCACATTTTTGTAAGCTCAAATAGTACAGGTGTATTAACTCTTTCTCTTTTGGGGTACTTGTATATAGTGTAAGTTCAAAGCTTGTACAGGTACCATAGTGATCGGCAACGATAGATGGATCAGATGCAGCAGTTTAATTAGTTTAGAAGCTGGTTATCAAGATACTAGGATATAGCCGTCGCTGCTAATGATCTTGTACGAGGAAAAACAATTAATATGAAATGGACAAGTTGGTGGTTATATATATCCCAATAATATTGCTGAACTCCTGTTATAAGACATTGGTTAACACTTTGCATTGACATACTTTGATATACAGCTTTTGTTAGTACCATTTTTGTGATAATGATACGTTACTATTGATATTATATTAAAAAGATATATTAAACACAATCTGATGGAATGTATGTGTATTATTGATCTCAGTAATCAAAATGGGTTGGTATGGATGAGTATATTAACATGAGTTAATTATCTATACATTGTTAGTGTAAAGTTTTTTTACACTGACAATTAATTATATTTCTTAATTGTGTTATGTCATTGTTAAAAGTAAATGTATTTACAGTGACATGACATAACTAAAAGATATAATTGATTATTGATTGTCAGTATAAATTTTTTTTATATTGATAAGTGATTAATTCTATTAAAATTTGGGTTGGAGGGAAAAGTATAGCAGAGTGAGGAGACAATTTCAACATAAAAGAGGACTAGAAAATTCTCAAACATTGCCCCTAAGTGAGAGATTTTAAATATATTTTTTAACTTTTTTATTTATAATAATTATTTATGATTTAAATTTTAATATTTTTAAATAAATTATTAATAAATAAAAATAATATTATATTATAATATAAATCATTTATTATAAGTTTTAAATATAATATTTATTTATTTATATAATTTATTATGATTTTTAATTATGTATAATAAACATTTTGTTTGTGCATTCCTCAAACATAATATTCAAACAGTCTAAAATTTTAGTTGTTTATATATTTTCACTTTCAGGAAATACTTCGCCTAACTTTACCTGTCTCAAACATTGTGTATTCTAATTAAAAAAACATGGGAATTATGAAATTCATGCTGTACCAAAATCGATATTTAATCCATGCTTTCTATGCAAATTTGCAACTTGATTTTCCTTTCTGTAAAGCATGCAATTAGAGCAAGCTTTCTTCACCATTATGAGACAAAATTGATATGATGGAATTATACTAATAATAAAATCATTTTTTAATCACTTTTATAGGATAATTATTTTATTAAAAAAAATAGCTCATTACATGTTAGTTCAAACACTAAAATTTATACAAAAAGTAAATCACAATAACTCAATTATTTTTTGATTTAAATGAATTTTAATATGCACATAAAGTTATATATTCTCAACTAGAAGCTTATATTATAAAATATATATGATTTATAAATCAAATTAACTTCAATTTTCAAGTTTGAAGTAAAATATAAAATATATTTACTCCTCTAAAATAGTAAATATGTTTTAACAATGTGTAAAAATATATTTATTAATTAGAATAATCATATTTACTCATCAATTGACATTAATTATGAGTCAATTATTTATAAAGGGTAAAAATTCTTAACAAAATAATTTTTAGTCAGTTATTTAAAAGAGTAAAATTATTTATAAAAATAATTGTATTTATTTATAACTCTGCTAACCAAAACACTCAGTTACTCTAATTAAGAGTATTCAACTATTTGTCATCAAATTTTAAGTTTTATGCATATATGTATATTCTTTTACTTTGAGTATGTTGCACAAGTTTGTATACATCCATCTTGCAATTATTGAGTGTTCACTACATTTTTTAGTTTCGTAATTGAAAACCAAATACTTCAACATTTTTTTTCTTAATTATTATCATGTAAGTATTTTATGAAGTAAGGAAGGGTTTCAAAAATTTAAATAGATAAATTATATGTTTTTTTTTTTACTATATTATGTTTTTTTAAAGTTCAATAATGTTGTGTGTGTGTGTGTGTTTTTTTTTTTTTTTTAAGTTTGATTCGTTCATCTCAATTGATTTAATATAGTTATAGTTTAATGCTTAGTTGGTGATTAAATTCTGTTCTAAAAGTTGACGAATGAATTAACTTTTGAAAATTATACTATATATTTTAATTTCGTGCTCTGACAAGAATACTTGAGAAGTAATTATATTTGTCCATGTTATATAATTATAATATAATTAAAGCAGTTGGACAACATTTCAAGTTCATGATGATATTAATTTTGAAAAGTTATGATATTAATTTTTATTTATAAAATACGAATGAGAATATTTTTAAAAGTTTTTTTTTCGATGCTGATATTTTTAAGAATTCTTTCAATTTTATATATTTAACTTTTATTTATCATAAATATTTATGAATAAAATCAATAAAACTTTCTACCTTGTTGAAATAAGAATTGTTTTTATCATTTTCCTCCATAGTAGTCAATCCCGGATAGCGGCGCGGAGCGGTCGACCCTAAAACTGGGATAGCGGGATGACGCGGAGCGGGATAACCGCTATTTTAATATTAATTTATATATATTAAATAGAATCAGAAATATAAAAAAAAATAAGCTGCTGAAATAGAAACAGAAAAGCAGTTCAATTAATAAAAAAATTTTAAAAAAATTGTTGAATTATATTTAATCAGAAAACAAATCTGATAAATTAAATTTAATCAAAAATTAAAAATACAATTTTCTGAAATTAAAAATAAAATTTTCTGAATTAAATTTAATCAGAAATTAAAAATAAAATCAGCTGAATTAAATTTAATCAGAAATTAAAAATAAAATTTACTGAATTAAATTTAATTAGAAATTAAAAATAAAATTTGCTGAATTAAATTTAATCAGAAACTAAAAATAAAATTTGTTGAATTAAATTTAATCAGAATTTAAAAATAAAATTTGTTGAATTAAATTTAATCAGAAATTAAAAAAAAACGATCCTAATTATGAGATTTCGAGTGAAGATTTTGAGGTCAACCTAGCAGAACTGCGTCCTGGTCCTACGTACCAGTGTCAAATGTTAAAACCAGGAGATAGTATAGAAGGAAATTCAACCAAGAGATACAGTTTCGACGTTACTAAGGCTGATGAGATATTTGATATCTTATTAAAAGATAAACAAATTGTACTCCCAGAAAACCATAAAATTCCTCCATTCGAGCAAAGAAAAGGGAAGAAATTTTGTAAATATCATAATATGTATGGGCATTGGACTAATAATTGTGTACGTTTCAGGGATTTGATCGAGAAAGCGATTACTGATGGTTGCCTTGCTTTCGAGGAAAAGGAAATGAAGGTGGACACTGATCCATTTGCTGCCCATACTGGATATGTGGAGCCAGTTTCGATGGGAGTGAATATGGTTGAAGTCAGTGTTGAAGATGAGAAAAATATCGAACCTATTTCCGATGAGAAACTCGAAGAACTGATGGACGACTTCGCCAAGGAAGAGGAACCTATCTACCCAAAAGAGGGAGATAGTTTGGTTGAATTCTTGTCGAAGAAAAAAGAAGTTGACAGGGAGGTTATGCTGTGTCCTCGATGCAGTGCTGTCTTCGATAGAGCTGCGACTAAGGCTTTCGAGGAGTCAGAAATGATGAAGAACTACAAAGCTGAGAAGCTTCGTGAGAAGGCTAAATCTACTGCTGGGTCAAATGCTGGGTTGACCATGAGGCAGGTTCACATGCCTCAATATAACGCCCCTATGGGTAAGATGGAGATGTACAATTCATCGAAGTTCGGCAATACCTTTGTGCCGAATGCAAATGTCCCAGTAGGGAAGTGGAACGCTCCTCCAAGACCAATGGGTCGAGGAAAGCAGGTGATGAACTTTGTTGGGAACCTAGTGCAAGGAAACCCTCGAATATGTCTGCAGGTCCTGGAAGATTTTCAAATAGAAGTTATGGGCGCGGTTTTTGACAGCCCTTCAATAACTTAACAAAAACTCAGTGGAGGAGGCAGCAACGGATGCGAAAGGCTACGTTTGAAGGTTTCCGAGGGAACCGGTTTTCGATTCCTATACCTCAAAAAGGGGAATCCTCTCGAAAGTTCATCGAAGACGATGAAGACTTGATCACTGATTGTTTCGAGAGTGGTTTTGATGATTCTTTAGAGGACATCTGTGGGATAGTTTCCATTCTTCCTTCTGAGTATGCGGGAGCAATGGAATCCGTCAATGAACAAGAGGATATTCATCGAGAAGACTTCTTCGATGACCCGAATTACGAGTCTAAGATCGTGTGGGTTAATCAAATCTCGAGGGTTATCCCCAAAATATTAAAATTTAATTCATAAATAATTACGATAAATAAAAATTGAATTAGATAAGAACTTAAAAAAATTCATATAAATCCTTTTAATAAAGAAGAATTCATTAAAAATGCATTCACTCATGTCCAACACTATTGTGTTTGGTATGTGGATAAATGATGTGTAACCCAATTTAATAATCTAGGATAGACGAGACTTGAATTTTTCCCGATACACTTCCTCACATTAATACTATTAAGCTTGGTACGTGTATCAAATACTAGGTGACTCTTTTAAAGTAAATCTAGATAACTTTGATACCATCTTAGGATGTGAATTATGAATGGAGATGTTCCATTTTAATGATCTAGGATAAGAAGATTTGGATTTTTTCTAATATATCCCCTCGTGCCTAACTTTATTGGGCTTAATCTGTGTATTAAATGGTGGATTACTCATTTTAGTGATCTAGGATAGACATAACCTAGGTCTTTCCTAATATAAATATCTTTGTTATTTTTTCATATGATAACTTTGATAATCGCCAAATATGCATAAGTTTTTATTCAATTTAGACAATTATTAACATATCATATGTTTCTAAATCTTGTTTTTGGTTTCAAAACACTTAATATTATATATTTTTAATATTTTCTTTATTGAAATATAATACAAGGAGAAAATAATTTAGAAGTTATAACTATCAAAGAAAAACTATCGCTCCACAGACCAACTGGATGTGTTCTACGCGAGACAAATTCGCTTGGATCATCCAACAATTTGTTTTGAGCAAGCTAAGTTAGGAAACAACTTTTGGAGATAGCATCAACCCACTTAAAGCGAGAAGATCACTCACTCTTATGGGTTTTGAACTAATGATGTTAGAGAGCAACCTTTGAGAATCAAATAAGCTCACTTAGAGTGAGTTATATGGGTCATTTAAGCGAGCAAAATTAACTCAGAACCACCACATAAGTTCTATGAACGAGTCAAGATAGGGAGCATACAAAGAGGATCGCATAAGCTTGCTCATAACAGGCGTGCATGACCTAAAAATTCATTAAAAATATTATAAAATAGTATTTCTAAGATGTCTTTCCATTACTACTTTTCTAAGCACAATTTTATTATAGGGAATTCTTGTGAGAGCTTTTTGCAATCACAAATCAATTAAAGATATTTTTTTTCTTATGTAATCATTAGTTATAAGTGACTGAATTTTTTATCGTTAGAGATTGAGATAATTATTGTACTTATGTAAATTTTGTGTGCTTTTCATTCAATAAAATCTTTATTTAGCTAATCATTTTATTCTTATAATTAATGTTTGTAATGACTTGATCAACCTTTGATACCACCACATAAATAAATAAGAAGAATATGTGGAAAACTATATAAATTACACGAAATTTTTTTGTTGCCACCTTGCAACTTTTCTATTCTTTTTCTTGAGATCAAAAGTATTTTTTTTTCTTTACGGTGAATATTATATACAAAGTCTTAAATTTAAACTTTATTATTCTCATTATAATTTATATATATATATATATATATATATATATATATATATATATAATGCATCCATGTAACATTAAGACTAATTTTTTATTTTTTATTTTTTTTATAACTACGGTATTGTTACGAAATATCTACCATTGAAAATAATGATTAATTTTCGTCAAAGATAATGAGTGCACACAAATTGAGTATTTCCCTCTCAATATAATTTACTCCATATCTAAAATTAAGATTCAAATTCTAAATAAAGACACAAATTCTTATCACTTATCACAACTAATATTGATTATTAAGATTTTACCTTCGTTATTAAGAATATGTTAAAAAGTAAAAAGTATAACCTAATTGAATTCCAATAACAAAAGCTATCCGAATCAAATAACAAATTTTCTCAAAGTCTGGGTGCTTCTTCAGAATTTATTTTCACAGATACAGAGGGTAGAAATGAATAAAAAACAACACCAAATGCACAATCCGCTTCCTCCGCAAAGATAAAAATACGAACTTGATTAACATTTAATTTAAGCGACGATGTTGGTTACTTTAGAAAAACAAAATAGAGTTGTTAGTTGTTACTCAATTCCAAAAAATTAAACCGTGTTATGCAAATGGTAAAAATTAAAGGATAATGATCTAAAAATTTAAACCGTGAAAAAATAATTGAAATGTGTTATCTTTACTGCAATTGTCTAAACTATTCGATCTCTGGATACAAATTTTAAAATTACTTAATAACTTCTATTATCTCTATTTTAATTTTAATTTTAAAAAATAAAGATATAAAGATAAGAAATGTTTCTTTTCTTCTAAGAATAAAATACTAAAAAAATTATATGTTTTATTTGTTTTTAAATCATGTATATAGACCTAGGACACAATTATTTATCTCCTATATTGAATTTTATTAATCAATAAAAAAATTTATTTAAAAATATGCTAAAAAATATTTATTAATCAATTACTTATCCAATATAATTGATTATTGTGAAAAATCATTCATATCAGTTATCAATTTCGAATAAAGACCACAATTTTTGCGGGGTTAGATTCTTTGTTAAAATAGTGGTTTTCAAATAATCCAAAATATTTAAAGAATGATTTTGTTTCAAAATAAATTATTTAGTAACCAGCAGAAAAAAATGCACTCTTCCATGAGAAAAGAAAATTAAAAGAGGACTAGTTATTATTAAGGAGATGAACATTTTTTTCTTCTTCTTTTGTATAAATAAATGCCTTTTTTCCTATTTCGTCCTTGTTTTTAAACAATTTTTTCCTATTTTATTTTTAAGAAATATATTAGTAAAAAAAATTAAAATAAAAGTAAGATTTTAATTATCTTAAAAAAGATGTACACCAAATCAAAATGCTTTATCCTGTATATTATATTTGAAAAATAAAATCGGAAACTGATCCCACTCAATCTCTTAGCATTCCGTTAACCAAAATCTCTTAATATTCCATTTTCTTGTTTAAGTTACCGAGGTAGAATTATTTAGAACCACAGTTGTCTATAATTGGCCATTAATTTGGTTGGTATTTAAGAATTTTCACAGTATTCATGGTAATTTTTATTTATTCCAATCTAATTCCGTTTTCTCTTTTCTCACTAAAACACTGCTAAGATTTCTCTTCAAATTCTCTCCCTCTGCAGCACTGCACACACCTTTAGTCCGTGGATCAATGTCTTCTCAAGGCCATGGCATCCACTTTTTCAAAGTTATTCTTGAAAGCACCCTTCAAAAAGGAGAACTGGTAATAATTTATTTCCCTTTCTTTTTTATATTTTTTTTTCTTCCTTTTGCAAAATATGAATGACAATTTTTTTATTAACACTGTACCTCAAGGCCTGTGAAATTTCTTGTGCATCAATGTCTCTTTGTAATATTCTTGTCACATGTTGAAGGGTTACTCAAAATAATATAGACTTTGCTCGAAAGATAGTCGAGTTGAATTCTTGGAGTTGAGAAAAAAATTACATTCAAGAACTTTTAATTTTTACAATGGAATACATGTTTTTTCGTTGAATAATTTTAAACTGGCATTCAATAACATGCATAGATGTTACGATTTTAATATTTTTCCATAGAAGTTGTTTTTACCTTTTTATTTTTATTTTTTATTTTATATATGTTAACTTTATTAAAATTGAATGCATAAACCCTAATGGATGAGAAAATTGCGACAGAAAGTGCCGACGAGTTTTGCGAGAAGGCATTGGCAAGGAATGTTGAATCCTGTTATTCTAAGTCTCCCAAACGGCGCCAAAAAGAAGGTTTATTGGCTGAGGCATGATGGCGATGTTTGGTTTTGCAATGGTTGGAAGGAATTTGCAACATATTCGCGTTTGGAAGCGTCACATTTTGTGGTGTTTCGATACGAAGGAAATTCCTCCTTCAACGTGATTATTTTTGGGAAAAGCGCGGTGGAAGTGGAATACCCTTTAAGCAGTGATAGTAATGAAGAAGTGGAAGAGACTCATGGCACTGATAAAAATGTTGAAGAGCGTTCATCACACAAGGGTAAAAGGAAAAAATCTCCATCACCATTATCTAGAACTAGTAAGAAGATTCAAATAAGCCCAAAAATAGAAGTAGAAGAAGAAGATCAACTGAATCATTGGAAGAAGAAAGCTGGTTTAGATAATTCCAAGTATATTCATAATGGTTGGTTTTATTCACTTTTATTTTTTTTTATTCATAGAGATTATGACGTTATTTTTTGTTGTGATTTTCTTTATGTTCAAAAGTGAAAATTTGTAGCAGGTAGTTTCAAGAGGAGTATCAGAAACTTTCACGAGAAAGTAAAGACAATGTTCCACTCTGAGAATGAACATTTCACATGTGCAATCCAAAAAACATACATTGAAAGAGATCTATTGGTAAGAAAACTATGTGATACAGTGATACAATTATTCTTCAAATATGATACAGTGATACAATACACATGTGATACAGTGATACAATTATTTTAATATGTATAAAATAAACTATGTGTTGGATTAATATTTTTATATGTATCAATATTCTTCAAATATAATAAATGATTAATTATAATTTTATTAAAATTTATAAACACAATAATTATATAAATATATAATTGTTATTTTGCAACTTCACCTTAAAAACATTTATTTTACATTATTAAAAAATAAAATATAAATTATTTTATCATGAATTACTTCTTATTATTTACAAATAAAAATAAGATTATTAATTTCATTTCTTTCTTAAAATTATTTATATAGAAGATAATTTTCATTTATAATTCACCAAAGCCATGTTTTTTTTTACATTTCTTTATTAAATATGTTTATATTTCTTATTCAGTTATAATAAATATTTCATTTTTTAAAAAAGATTTGTATATCTTATCAATACATATTACTAATATTGGTGAAGTATCCAAAAATATTGAAATAAGATAAAATTTCATAATACTTTTAAAAAATGAGACATTTCATCGATATGTATTATTGAAAAGATTTAGATACATGAAACAAATTAAAGTTTCTTGATTCACAAGTTCTCAAATTGCAAGAAGTTACAAGTGTTATTCTTGAGAGAACATATTGATTAAAATATTAAAATATATTTTTTTTTATTCAAGAGATGGAGAAACACTTTGAGGATTTACTATTGAAGCCTCAAATATACTTTCAGGCACTTGTTATAATTTGTTCTGAGTTGGGAGACTATTACCGATTATTTTCCTGCAACAGATCTTACCAATGGAATTTTCTAAACATTATTTGCACAAGGATGGTGCTACTCTTTTTATTGAAGATGGCAGAACTTGGGATGTTGAGTTAAAGGTCAATTACTGTGGACAATTGACATTTTCCATTGGCTGGAAGAAATTTTCGCAGGATAATGAATTGAAAGTTGGTGATGTTTGTGGTTTTGAGCTACACAAATATAAAGGATTTTCATTCAAAGTTACTGTTTTTCGTTTCGAAGAGGACTCAAGCACTCCCCTCTTCATAGGTATAATTTATCTACTTACCATAATTTCTAATTATGAGCTCCTACATCGTAACAATTTTTCATATAATATCTTCACAAAAGACCATATAACTTTTATTTGCCAAATACTCAATGAATTCCTACTTTTTCCCCTTTATATGTTCATATACATTTTTCCTCATAATTTTCATCTTTTCTAGCACCAACATTAATATGGAAAATTAGTGGTCTTGTATTTATAACGTTTAGAGCATTTCCATTACATGTTTTAAACAATCATAGAGAGACAAGATATTTACCGAGATCCTTGGAAATATTATTGATACTAATTAAGTTCGATTTTCATAGATTAAATAAAACACAAGCAAAGAGATTATTCTAAGTGTTAAAAGAAGAGATGGATCATATGAAACTCCACGAGAGGAATTATTATATTGTAGAGTATAAAAGAGATTACATGTTTGTGTTGGTGTAACATAAATTTTTTTTTATCTAGAATAATAGAATATTGATATCAATAGGTTTACACCAATTATGAACTTTGTTTAACTGAATGAGCTAGACACCTTAATTGTTGTAAGGTAATTTACTATAAGATTATAATTTTTCTCCTTTAAAATTTTTATTGGATTCTTTGGGTCAAGAAGGACTTTCACATAGGCCTTCATCATCCTTTAAAACCTCTGTGACACCTAAAGCCAGCACATCAAAGCCGAAGGATGATCTCTGCATCATTTTGAAGCCTCCAATCAACTCACCGGTATGAAAAATTATATCATGCGTATATATAAATAACCACATACAATGCAATATTTTGATTAGCCATTCATTATATTTTTTGTTATCGTTAGTGCAGACAGTGCCTTTTAACTACATCAAGAGGTACGTTAAAGAGAATGGAAGATACGTGACCTTTCATGTTGGACTTAGATCGTGGCGCGTAAAATTGCTCTTTTACGAGCAAAATTTTACTTCCAAATTCTCTTCTGGGTGGGTTAAATTTATGAGGGATTGTAACTTGAAAGAGGGTGACACTTGTGTCTTTAAGATGATAGATGAGGAAAATCTAGAGTTCGAAGTTTCTTCTCTAAATGGAAAAAAATTGATGGATACACCTATGAGCTTATTGAGTCAGAAGAGGGAGAAATACAAATGATATTCAGGAAGAGAGATTTTGAAAATTTACCAGTATTAACGGGTTGTTGTTTGTTATATGAATATTTTATATACCATTACTCTTTTTAAGACGCAAACCATGGATTTGGTTATATTTTCAATGCCCTTGTATCATGTTTTTATAATTTTTGTTTACTTTTCTGTTGTTTGTATTGTATATAGATGTAGATAAACATTGTTTTGGATGTGGTTAGCAACTTATCATCAGCAATTGCAGTTAAGGTAGTTGGCTCATCGTTTAAGGTTTTGTTTGTCTTGTGCTTCAAGTTGTTTCTTTCTTTTGTATGTTGTTAAGCAGCCTTGTGGATTTTATAGTTAGTACTGTTTTTCAATTAAAAATAGTTTTATTTCAGTTATATATATATATATATATATATATATATATTAAAATAAAT